GCAATCTTGGAGAAATCTCGGACAAAACGTCTGAAGTAGCTGGCTCGCCCGAGGAATGAGCGCAATTGCTTGTTGTTATTCAGCTTTTGAACTCGAGATACAGACTTGATCTTTTCTGGGTTCTGCAAGATGCCCGCCGGAGTGACTATATGCCCGAGGAAGGGGACTGACGAACGGCCCCATTTGCATTAGGACATCTTGAGTTTAAATTCGGTTTCTCTGAACTTCTCCAAGACATGGTTGAGCCTGACGAGGTGTGATCCAAAGTCCTCGTTGAAGACGATGCAGTCGTCAAGGTACATCAGGCATGTTCTCCATATGCGGTCGACCTGGATGTGTTCCATCAGCCGTTCAAGCACGGGATTGCATTGCACAGCCCGAACGGCATCACCAGCGTTTCGCTCAGTCCATTCTTGCACGTGAAGGTAGTTTGCTCTATACTGTTCTTGGCCATTGAGATTTCCAGCAGCCAGAGGCAATGTCCATCGTTGAGATGAGTTTGGCCCGCCCAAGGACATCCAAGAGGTCATCGGTTCTTGGCATGGGGAAGAGTCCTTGATGGTGACGTCGTTGCGCTTGGAGTAGTCAACACAAAATCGATCGATCAATCAAACTTCCGAATCATTAGCACCGGGCAGGACCAAGGAGTCTCAATGGCCTTATACGTCCCAGCTCCAAGTATTGGTTGATTTCGGCTTCCATGAAATTGCCTTCCGCCTTAAAAGTGCGATAAGGTGACCTTCGGATCAGGCGGCTGTCGCCTCTGTCGAAGATAAACTCGACGAGATAGGTTCGACCAGGGGCTTTGGAGGTATCCACGAAGGTGTCCACGAATTTCATTAGGGTCTTACTTAGAAGCTCGCGTTGCTCGATGCTTAGGGTAGGCTCCGCCCAGTCGATGGGTAACTCCTTGCTTGCATTGTCGTCGTTTGGTCTGCGTCAAAGGGAGCATCAAAGACATGTGTCGACTGAGGTTAAACTTCAGATATGGTCGTGCGGCCTAAGTACTCGACGCAATCGTTGAAAAGAGAGGTCAAAGTACCCAAGGCAGTTGTGCAGGTAGGTCGACAGGTGTGTTAACGGGTTCATAACTTCCAACAGTATCGAAAGTTCCGGCGTCGTATGGTACAGAGCTGCTGCACACTGAAGCGGAGCAGTGCCTAAGGGTTCCATTAAGAATGTGGAGTGGTTTGGTAGGCCTAGCCCAGCGGTGCAAGGGATCCATCATACTGAACGGGCCGGTACGGTAACAGTGGCCGAAACAATGGTCATACAACTTGGGTGAGGGGCCAAGACCGAATCAGGTATGACATGATGTGGTCGACATCTTGTAGAGTCAGCGTATTGTTGTCGAGATTGATTACGGCTCCCAAGTAACGTAGTTAGTCTATACCGACGATGCAGTCCGCGAGCACCATGGACATCACCCAGAACAGAAATTCCAACGACTACAGTCCGGCCGGCCAGTGTGATGAAAAATTGGCGCGTCCAAGCATGTCGAGCTAGGAGTTGTTGGCTGAGATAAAATCAGACTGCTTGAGGAGTGGCAGTCCTAGGCATACCCAACACATGACGCTGACGAAGCTACTCGTAGCACCATTTTCAATTATGATATTCTTATTAGATTTAACATGTGTCAATGCAAAGAGTGATAGCCTTGGTACCGTTTACGTAAGCGTGTACGAACAGATCTGGTGCTCGAAGTGACCGGGAACGGCAGACTACAACTTTTTACCTTCAAGTTGTGCCAATCGGAAGTTCAAGTTGTGCAAGCCTTGAAACTTTATCCTGAATCAGATATAGAATGTGAACAGGAAAAAGGCAGTCCAAGTGACTCGCCAAACGCAATGCAGCCCCGTGATGAGGATGTATTTGTGGCAACGGAATTTGGCACACCGACCTTGCTCCGGCTCGGTCCCTACAGTCCCATCCTGAATCACATCGAAAACGTCTTCTCTGCGTTTAAATCGGATGTCAAGCGAAGTCTTCGCCAGAGGCGCCAAGAGCTCCTCACTATTCCCCCCAACACCACCATCAAAGCCCACCGCGGCCGTATTCTTGAGGAAGCGTCACAAGAAGCTCTCCAAGCCTGTGTGCCAAGTGCTTCTTGCACATTCGGAAGATTTACGAAGCTGTTATCAACTTGGAGGACATGCAGGTCGGTACTTGTTACCTTTTAAACGAATAAATTGAATTTCAGAGATGATGTTTCTCTGTGCTGCACAACTTGAACTTCCGATTGGCACAACTTGAAGGTAAAAAGTTGTACTTTTACGTGCCAGGGTGCGACATCACCGTGTCGGGTCTGAGAACAGGACGTCACAGTAAGTCGGGTCGGCTTTAGCAACACGACGATGGGCGTTGCGGTTAATCCAAGCGGTGCGCAGCATGTCCTCCTATGGAGAAGTGTTTGCGAAAGGATGTCCCTGAGGTAGAGCAGGAAGGGACAACAGGCTGCCTTCTGTGTACTGTAGCATTGGGTGCAGTGCAAGAGACATGCGAGCTGTATGGGAGCGGAACAGTGATACGTAGACCGCAGAGTTCAGTTTGTCCAAAAGATCAGGTTTGGAGTCAGAGTCCGCCAAGGCAACCTCCACTGTTGTCGACGGTGTAGCACACAAGCTAGTCGACGTGGTCGTCTCGTCGAAGTCGCCATCATCTGGATCCTTCGCCTCGCAATGGTCTAGTACAGCGTATGGATTTGCATCAACCCGCTGATTCGAGCCACCGGTGACGCAGCAGCTGTGCGAAAATCGCAATTAGCTCGGCGAGCTTCTTCGCACTTATGGAGTATGTCCTCAAACCATCTGATCCATGTGGCTTCATCTCGATGGGGTAAGGAGCCAGTAGCAAGTGTGACTCCGAGGGTGAGTTGTCCAGGGAGTAAATTCTCATCGTGTGACGGGATCTTGCGGCGTTGACGAACAAGTTCAAACTAGCGAGTGATGTCCGGCTTGGAGTGGGGTATAGTCGGTCCTCGACCCCCTTGTCATTCTCGTCATCAAGTGCGCTTGCCTGCGATAATAACAGGTCTGAAATATCTTTCTCAGAAAACACCGAACGCGCGGTTGTAATGTTTGCGCCCAACACGTGGTCAAGGGCTGATGATGAGTCCAACTGCGCAGAAGGTGTAATTTCGTCGCAGCAAGAAGACATTGAATCAGACTCCAACTTGGGCGAACGCGGAACACGCGTCTGCTTGTTTCGGATCCCGTCCGTGTAGTTTGCCTGAGTAAGTACTATGTTTGTGGTGCATCGCTGTCGAGGCTTGGGCGTCAGGACAAGGTCCGTTCACTGGGGCCTCTTGGTGGGATCTGGAGGGTGTGCCGAGAGTCCCACATAGGTGTTTGCATCCGCCGAGATCGCCAAAGCGACACAGACGAAACTAGATATGGATGCATTGTCTCGAACACTTTATGGACGTTCTGGGGGTGGATAGCCGTGGGGTTGTTCGAGTCCCCCACAGCGCCGGCTTCTCAGGCGTGGAGCGCGGGTTTTGAAGGACAACTCGACACCGTGTGACCGGGGAGCTTCCAGTAGTGGCAATTCTTAGGGTGCTCACCCGCATAGTGTCCGGATTCATGGCAAAGGTTGCAGCGCACGTGTTTGCGGGGGCAGTCAATATAATATATGCCCAGTCGATCGCAACGCCCACATACTTTCACTACACTTGAGGAGACCTTATCAGGTTGAGAGGAAGCCGACTGCGCTTGCACGGGTGCGTAAGCCATCGGGTAGGAGGCAGCGTAATGGGACGACTGAGTCGGCTGGATTGGGGCAACATATCGAGGCACGGCGATGGACTTCATGAACGCCTCTTGAACTGAACGCGGTCAGCCTTCTCAATATGGACAACCAAATCTTGCAGTTGTTGTTGCTGCTGCTGTTGCTGCGTTATCAAGGCCGCAAGGAGGTTTTCGACAGTAGACTGGACCTCGAGTCCAACCTTAGATCAACGCCGGTGGGTGTTCGGCGACCGAGGCGGCGTGCACGATGACAAAAGTGTGGACGCCATGGTCGAGGCCAATTCCGATCGCACCATGCGCTGGAAATTCGGTTGGTTGTCCAATCGGATTTGTCGCGATCGACGCAGCTTTATACAGTCCGAAATCGACGTGAGTTCTTTGTCAGTGCTTTCCAGGTAGGTTTGGGCTCGAGGGTGTCGCACGCATCGTTGGAAGATCGTCGTGCCTTGAAGAGCCGGAATGTTGATCTCGTCCAAGATAGTCTAGACTCGAATGGCGTACGCCCACACAGATTCGCCCTCACGTTGATCGGACTCTTTAAAGAGATGATCGACCATCTCGCGCGTCATGCGGCAACAGAATTGATCCTTAAAGTCGGCCAAGATCTCGGTCCAGACATCTCCGTTCAACTGCGAACTCAGACTACGGCCTCAGGATATTTCTGGCGAAGTTGAAACTCCTCCTTGTGAAAGTTCGATAACTTCGTGGTGATATCCGAATGGGGTGATAGGAAACTCTTGCACTGGATGCGGGTTGGTCGGAAAGTGAACGTTCTTGGAGCCTTGCCGCGTAGGGGAGGGACGACACTTGGCCTTGAGACAGTTGAGCTTGGCGGAGTGTCGCAGCCGCAGCACTGATGACATTGTCAGCTCACATGTTGGGATTAATTATTCACCATATGCCTGTACACACGATTTTTATATAAAGTTGCGCATTTTGTTCGTTGCATACCTAAAAGCGTCCTTTAAGCCGCTTCCATGTTCAATTTTCGCCACCAACTTTCAATGCCTCCTCCATGACGCTTTGCAATGTCATGGAGGTCTTGTTCAGCGCAACATGATTGAGGTCATTGGACGCTACCTCGACAGCAGACACGACCTTGTCGATTGAGCTACCTAACGTTCGATGCTACAAACACTGGATGGCGTTGAAGAAACCAAGATCCAGGACATTGAAGTCCGGACTCATGGGGCTGCAGCGCAAGCTGAATGTTCCGCCCGTTCGAACGACCCGCCGCTACGATAGCAGGATCGTTCACTGCGACGTGTGGCCGTGCGTGTCTTGCTGGATCCAAATCAAATCGGCGCGTCTGCCGGGCCGATTGTCCTTGATCGCCGGGATCACGTTCTCGATAAGGTGTTGCCGGTACACGCTTTTGGTTACTACCCTTGGCCCTGTGAAAGGATCGCCACTGGTACAGTTCCGACTTCGCCGTTGAGCGAACTACGTATCCACAAAAGCCCATGAACCTATCTTGCCATCCCACATCCCTTCGCACCTGCCGCTAAAGCGTAGCCTTGCAACCGCATGACCTTCGTGAAGTGGCGCTTCGATTGGCACTTGCGTTCACGGAGCTCTTCATCATGCCACAGGCAGTAGCGTCGGTTGACTTGCGTCACAAAGAACCACTTTTCATCAATGTGCACACGATCGAACATGTCGTGCCACACGAGCTCGACGTCACGTCCCTATGTTAGGACGAGCGAGCGAACGTCGCCCGCTCGGCCTTGTGCTAGTCCGTCAGTATGGACTTCACGCGGCTTGTGCGCCGTTTTCTTCTTAGCCATAACAAGCCTCCACAGCGTTGTCAACGCGATGCCGGTGGACTCGGCCTCCACGTCGACCAGAGTGGTTGTCCGCTTGCGCGCCGATAAATCAGCATAGCCCAGAGTCGCCTCCGTAGACTGACCATGCTGCCATATGAGCGAAGCAGCTTGCTGCGTCACACCATACTCTGCACGAAAAGCCATCTTCGCACAGTGTGCAGCGACACCGTCCTTCTTGATCGCGATCGAACAGTACAGTCGCATTCGCTCACTTTCGGTGAGCTCACGACCGGTCTTGGCAGCTCTGGCCATGCGTGTTGGCAGATTCGGGTTTTGGTCGAGTTTGGGTGATCTGAAGTGTGCTAGACGTATCCAATGCACGAAGAATCAGTCCAATCGGAGAAGAATTAAAGGAGTGGCCGGTCTTTAAACCTAAAATGTTGTGTGCGAAACGTTTGATTGAATGGTTCTCCCACAACAGTAAAGGGAACGACAAAAATCCTTCCCCCATGGTACTCTACCAAACTTTAGGATTATTAATATTATGGACGCCCAAAAATCAGTCTCATGAAATTAAACATATTTTTGGCCAATCGATGATTATCCACGTCCAAGCACATGATATGATACAACTTGATCTTGCAGTCGTCAAACAAAACTAAACACATTGTTACTGATATTTAGTTTGCTATAATCCTAGTGTTTTATCGAATTGTCCTTACTGTTAAATGATCAACCTAGGTGCACAAGATGTCATAGTAAGATTGCCTTTTGGCTGAGCAGTTTTGGTGCCCGCTGGCATTCGCTGTGACCCCACATTAACTATTACCATTTCAATCTAATTCCAGCAACGTCTTGAACATCGCACCATAGCGATTTTGTTTTCATCTTATTATCGCACCAAGAAGGTTACTTCGACCAACATTAATTAATTTTAAACATGCTTTCTACCTTCGTCGTTGTACGTGGGGCATATATTCGTTCACGCGCAACAGTTATGTCTGGTGCTTTGTTTTGAACAATAATGTACTTCAACTAAGCGCAATATGAAATTGAAAACCGTAGACTGTTCACAAAATGCACTAACACCCCTCTCGATTTCATGTGACATTGGTTTACAGCAGCGAAAACGCTGCCCTGTAGTGTTAGTCCAAATCGTATGACTTGCTCAAGAAGAATCTGAACAAATTTGAGAAATAATACAAACGTATATACAAAATACAAAATAATATATACTAGACAATAAGACAGGTCGAGTCACTCTTTGGACGCGAGGCCATCTCATGAGCAAGCTGATCCACCAGGAAGTGGCTCCGCGAAAACTCTGTGGTGTCCGCAGCCGAGAAGAGGCTGGCCATGATACCCCGAAGGATTGCCGATGGGAAAGAAATACATTGCGGGGTTTTCATTCTCTCGTCCACGAAGGCTCTGTCTCAGTGAGGGTTTGGTTTACTGGAAGAGTTATTGTGAATTTCTGCCAAATTTGCCGAATGAGTTCGATTCAACTGGCCAGCGAGAATCACCGGTAAGCCGCCGCCGCTTCGATATCATTGGCTATAAATGTGAGATGATTGCACCTTTCCTCATTGAAATCAAAACTTTCAACACAGTCACCAGCTGACATTCCCCCTCACATCTCCTTTTCACACTCCCATGGACGACATCGTGACAAAGCAACATGCACACCCGAATACGTTTTTTATTGTTTGTACGGGTTCTTCAACCTCGGGTACACGAGACAGCAGCTTGCGGCTATGTACGTACAACAAGTCGGAGAGGACAATCGGCAATTGGATTCGCGTCTACCAAGAGACGGGGACGTATGGGCTTGCTCTGCTGCTGTGGGGAGATGTTTGCTGTGAAGAACGTGCTGGTGTGCGCAACCTCGTTGAGTATGAAGAGTGGCGTGCTGTGGGTGGTCTTTCAGGCGTGACTGTAGCACTGGTGCTATCGGTGTCTTGGCTCTTGGAACACGTGGACTGTCATTCGCACATCTGAAACATTTGAGAAATAATATCAAAGTATAGAGGTCTCGATTCTCTGGCGATTGGGTCGGGGCGATTGTTTCGAGCAGGATTGATAATTTCAAGTAAAACTCACAATAGCTAGTTGTGAATGTACTACTGATTTCCCTCGTAAAGTCGAACAGGTCAAAGTGAATAATTCTTGAAAGTTAATATATCAAGTTAAGCAGTGGCATTTGATTTTTTAAACTGGTTTTGTATTGGAACAAAACACTTGTGAAATTTCAACGATGAAGGAGCGCATGACACTGCATGAGAGACACCTGCTGCATGTACACCACATGCAGAATCCAACAAAAGTATATTCTGAACTCGCTTTATGGGCAAAAGAAGAATTTATACTGGCGTTAAAGAAGCACTCAAATGCAAGCGAACGTGCCGACAGCAAAACGAGAAGCGTAGATCGAGCGATGCTGCTGCCCGAGGTCGATGCACTCGTTCTTCAATGGGTACTTCGTTGCGAAGAACTTGGTGCTTGCGTCACTGGAGAACTCATAAGAAAAAAGGCAATCAATGTGTTTGACGACCTACAATTGCCTGAGATACGACGAATATCATTTTTGAAGAGATGGCTCCACAAATTTCAACGACGACATGGACTTACGAGCAAAAATTCAGCACGGTGAAGCAGTTTCCGTATCGCCCGGGATCGTTGCGACTGGGATAATGGACATGCAAAACCTCACAAGTGGCTATAACGCAAGTGAGATTTACAACATGGATGAGACATCATTCTTCTACTGTTTGTCTCCTCACCGGTCAATCACTCGAAGTCGCTTGCCCGGAACAAAGAAATCCAAGAAGCGAATTACCATCGCCTTGACAACAAATGCGGACGGCTCCGATGTCACTGATCCATTGTTCATTGGTAGCTCTGTTCGTCCACGCTGCTTTGGTGGCCAATCTCCAAGTGCGTTAGGCTTCAACTACTTATCAAGTAAGAAAGCATGGATGAATGGCGTTCTTTTCCTCGTACGTTCATTCCCTCAATGAGCGCATGGTGGCGGATGACCGCAAGATCGTACTGCTCGTGGACAATGCAGCTTCTCACAAGATTGATGAATCCGAACGCCTATCAAACGTTTGTGTGAAGATGCTGCCAAGGAACACTACAGCCTACCTTCAACCTCAAGACGCTGGCATCATCGCGTCCTTCAAGGCGAAGGTGAAGCAGTGGCAGTTGCAGAACGCTCTGGAGCAAATTGATGATGTTATGGAAGGACATCAAACTGAACTGTACGAAGTACCTCTTGTTCAGGCAATGGGCTAGGCAAAAGAAGCGTGGCGCACTGTGTC